GGTAAGGTAAGGTAAGGTAAGGTAAGGTAAGATAAGATAAGATAAGATAGAACTTTATTGATCCCACAGTGGGGAAATTTGAACATTACAGCAGCTTATAACAGTGGAGTTGCAGTAACAGGCAGCCTGCCGTGGTGCCAACTTAGAAACAAAGAAAAACTAAAAACCACACAAGGGAAGGGAAAATGAGGAAAAAAGCAAAAACATCATATTATATCAACACTGTGACGCACTGTGGTGTTTATGTAAAAAACCTCTGCATAGAGCAAGTTTATTAGCCAGAGGAGTAAGTGAGTTTAAGGGGGCCCGAAGAATCCAGTCCCCCCAAAACCAGCGCAGCCATAGTTCAGAAATATTGATGGAAACTGTTAATTTCTGTGCAGCTTTCAGCCAGCTCTGGAAACACAGATTAGATGGGCGAAAGGAGGGAGGAAGGTGTGGCCTTTGTCGACACATCCAGCCAGAAAGAATTTAGTCAACAACTCAAGACCATTGTCAGGGAGATCCAGATTCTGTAATCAGTTGTTTTGGGAACAGAAAATAAAAGCAGACGACAACAATTTTCCATCTGCTTTAGAGTTCCTGCTGGTGCATCTCAAGGTGGCGATCCCATTCAGGCAAAAGAGTGTGGACAGATTCCGCCAAGCCCGAATCTATCAGATCCTCTAAGATCAATTCCATCTGGCAAGCAAAGTCCAGGGACCACAGCCAGCGCGCGACCCTCAATAGAACCGCTAGCAGACTGAGTCCAGCTCGCTCAAGGCAAAAAGTCAGAGTGCTGATAGAATACGGCCACCCATCAAATTGGTCAGTCAGCCAGGACATGAACAGCCACCGATGCTGATTTGTAGAACACCAGGAGACCACCTAACCTAGCCGTAGAATCCAGTGATCGGAGTCCAGATATATATCCAGAACAGAGGTCCCACCTTTGACATGTCCTCACATGGAAGCAGAAAAAAACTTTGTTCCAAAAATTTTATTGAGACCAGCTAATCAAATCCATAAAAGTAAAAATATCCATAATTTCTTATTTCGGATGAGAAATGTAGAGAAGTCTCCAGCAGCAAAACAGGAAAAGATAAGAAAGGCCAGGAGAGAAGGAAGAAGTGTCTTACTCCTCCGAGAGTGGAAACAAACAAACAAACAAACAAACAAACAAACAAAAAGCAGGCGTTCCCAAACACCAAATACCTCAACATTTAAAAAGTTTTCACTTTTATTCACTCATCAGTGACAATAACTGTTAATAGTCTGTTAAGTACTGAAGGACCACCATCCTGCAGGTTTTACTGGTTCCTCTGCTCCAACACACCTGATTCAGTGACTGAGTGACTTCTTCGTGTTCTGCAGAAGCCTGGTAATCAGCCCTTCCTTCAGAGCAGAGAAACTAGTGACACCTGCAGGATGGGATGGTGGACCCTGAGGACACTGAGGACCAGGACTGTCCACCCCTGTTCTGAAGAACATAATGTATGATATGGACAGGTTCCTATAAGAACAGCTTGTTATAAAACATCTCTTCAGTAATGTTGACAGAAACCGACCCTTGTTTTGGACCATGTCTGGCCCTCTTGTGTAAGTGTGTTTGCCCCCCTGTCTTAAAGAAATGCTGCATTTGAATCAAACATATACGGTGTCTCTTCACACTGTGCAGCAGAGACACATCTTACAGAGTCGGGGAGGCGGTTTGTTTGGTCCCCTGACTAAAGGGGTCAGATTTGTGGCTGGTGGGCTCGTTACGGACCAGCTGGGCGGCCGTCCTGCTCTCCTTCTCCTGTTTTCCAGCATGAAAATTGACATCGTGGCCTTCTTCCTCCTAATCGCTGTCATCACTGTCATCACACACTAATGGTGCCAAAGATGAGTTCAAAGTAGTCCGTGGGGTCCCCCCCCCMCCCACCCACCCCCGACTGTGCAAACAGATATCAGCCCTCATCAAAGAGTCTGAGACCTCCTCTGTTAGTGAACACAGACAGATTTCTCTCCTCTTCTGACTGTTTAATTACAGCTGTGCTGGAACATCATAATTATCAATGATAGCAGGTCATTTCCACTAGTTTTACTTCTTCTAATTTCACTGAACACAGACCTGCTAATTACACACATTCACAGTTTAATCATTCCTCCTGGGATGAGTGGACAGGTTAAAGTCAAACATGTTATTAGCTCTTCTTCTTTGTCTAATCTGGTTTGTCTGTAAAGACTCTGGGAAATCTCAAGTGTTCTGCTGCGTTCTTTAAGGTTCAGCTTGAATAAAGATCTGAAGTTTCAGAACAAGTTGTGTTCTGAGACGACCCACTTTCTGTTCTGACATCATTTCCAACTGGAAGTTTGAGTAACAGTCAGAATCCACTAGAATAAAGATTATTATTTGTGAACCATGAACCAGGGCCCATATTTATAAAACTTATTAGAATTACTCTTAAGAAGGCTGCTAAGAGTGGACTTAAGTGTAAAATAATTCTTAGTTAAAAGCTGAGAGTAAAAGTCAGTTATCAAGCGTCTCAGTCTTACTTTAAGTGAAGTGTAGGAGTAATTCTTAAGTGTCAGTCTTACTTTAAGTGAAGTGTAGGAGTAATTCTTAAGTGTCAGTCTTAAAG